TCATTAGGGGGTTGTTTTTTGAGAAATTTGAAGAGAGTGGGAGCGGGTGCGAAAATCGTGTATGTTAATTAATAGACTTATGCAACAAAATTTTTGCATAAGATTCTTAAAAAAACCTAAGTTTTCTAAATAAATTTTGACAATTTGGTATTAATTAAAATTGAAATCATGTCCCAACGTAAATAATGCCGATCCAAAGCTAATATTTTTCCTAAATTCCACTTTTTAATTGTCCGATCTTGTGTTAGCTATTTAACTAACAAAGCTATTATCAAAATAATTGTATTGGGCATATTTTGCAACTATCAACAAAATGATATCAATTTTCAAATTTTTAAAAAATATAAAATATTTTTTCCAATTAAAGAAATAATCAAAACAATTAATGTCAATAATTAAAGCAAAATCTAAATTTAATTCATAAATTGTATAAATTAAAATTTTTATAAAAATTAAATATAATATTAATTAATTTATTAATCAAATGAATTAAACAGTTTTTTATTAAAACTGTTAAAGGAATACTTTTCTTTTAACAATGCGTTCAGCATTTACAAAAAAATATCACTTTAAGTAGGTTAGAAAAAATTTTATAGTCAAAAAATTTTAATCAATTAAAAATTTAATGTAAATTAAGGTTTTAAACAACGTGATAGTTGACTCAAATAAAACACAAACAAAATTGTTTAAATAAAAATTATAGAAGAAACGTTTATTCAAAATAAACTGCCGATCATTTTTTCTGTGCACAGGATTATTGCAAAAATATTTCAGAGTGACTAAAATTCTTACACATATTCACATAAAAATGTATTTGCTTTTTGCAAATAACATTTCAAATGTTGTTTTGATATTAACGTTTGTTTTAAAAGAATAATATTTATATACATAAAATTAAAAAAAAAAAAAACGGAAAAACAACCGTTTCTATGAAATTTAATGAAGTCTATAACATATTTTCAGTTAATTACATTAAATTATATGTTAAAATTTTAAAAATGTAAATGTTTCCGAAAAATGAATAAATTTTCAATACTTTTGAACTAGAACAAAAATTCATGACCTTCACATGATATCAAAATTTCATATCATATCTTTGCGTGAAACATGAACTAACGTTTCATTTTCGGTGGGAACATCAATACCTCATTTTTTCTCCATACAAACGGGACCACCCTAATGTACATTTTTTATCATTAAATGAATTGAACTCTCCTCCCTGTTGAACTTTATCGTTATTTATTTGATACAGTACATTGTATTACGCGGGCACGGTCATACTTAATATAAAACCAGCCTCCTCATCATAAAAACATAAAATGCCACAAGAAACACACATCAGCAAACTTTGCTAATAAAATATTTGTGTGTTTACAAGACATCAATACATTAAACGTAGAAATATACATACATATATATTGGGGGATCCCGTGGACCACTTTTTGATAGTGCATTTATTTAAAATATATTTTCTTCGGAATCCAAATATTGGATTATTCTATTAAAAAGGTTTTTAAAGTTTTTGTATTTAAAACCAATCGGCCCATAAATATCGGAAATATGATAAAAATCTGTTAAAAATGTCGAAAAATATAAAATAAATTTAAACTCATTTATTTTGGAAACTTTTTTGACAACAGCGAAAAAATAATATTGTGTTTCATTTTCTTTTTTCATGGCCTTTTGGATTACGAGATTTAAAATTGCATTATATTTGCACAAAAATCAAAAGTCGAATCCCTAACATATGTATGTACATCAGGGTGTTCCGTGGAACACTTTTTTGTAGGAATACCTCTCAAACGATGCGTTTTAAAGTACTAAATAAGAGAAACAAATATTTTTTTCGAAGTTCCCTACCAGCGATTGAAAATCCTGAGCTCATCGCGAGAAAAATAATTGATTTTTTAGAGTATTTTGGTCCGAAGTACGGCTTTTAGTGCATTATAAAGGGCATATCAATTTAAAAATAATCTAAAAAAATCTGAAATCTATTGCCAAACTTTTTTTAAATATTTTCTGTATAAGCTAAAAATTACTACAATTTTGACACAAACCCACTTAAAATCATTTTGTAGACCAAATTATTTTTCCCGTAATCAGTTTGAAATTACGGATTTTGTGAGACCCATTTTGAAGATATTGCTATTTTTTAACTTATTGTACTGGTAGTGAACCTTTCAAAAAATATATTTTCTATTTTTCTCGTGTTAATACGTATTGATTGAGAGATATTCCTACATGGGATTCTTAAAAAGGCAATTTATTCTGGAAACTCTTATGTATGTATATTAGAGATATAACTAATTTAGCCGAAATTTTTGGCATACCACCACGTGATGGCCAATGTTGTACAAGTAATGTACATATTTTTTTGTTCCATTTGGAATCAAAATCATCACTCACCAACACCAATTTCTGAAATAAACCAACTTTTTCCCATTTCATCCCCTAAATGTTCGACTTTCCAAAAACTCCTTCTTAATGGATCTAAACAATGCCAAGGAAACCTAATACAAAAAATTCACGATTCTAGCTTTAACGGCTTGGAATCAGTCATTATATATACTTCCCTTATTTAAAATGTATTTTCCCAAAATAATTGAAAATATGTTAGTATTGTGAAAGTGAACTGCAGGGTATGTATGTATATATAGCTACACCTGTATAAGATTGTGTTACAGTAGACAGAATGTGGCATGCAGTATAAACAAAATATATGGTATCGATATGAAAAGACTTCTTTTGTACCAAAGAATTGCTGACAAGTGAAATTTTATCTACATCTTATGTGTCAGATACAATTCTTCCATATCTATTAGAGAGCTATCCAAGACGATGCTTCTTTTATAAGATATTTTACTGAAGATTTTATAACAAAGAAAATCATAAAATTATAACGACAACAGGGATGGTCAATGGAATTTTCAAATTGTACGAAACAACTTAAAATTGTACTTTTTTGGATTCCGATTGTACCATTTAATTTTTTTATTGCTAATTTGTAACAATATGCAACGATACGTTTGTAGACCATTATACAAACACTTTCACATTAGACCGACTCACAAAATATAGCTTATTATGTCATACATATGATGTTACCCAAAATATATTGAATGATTTGTTGAATAAATTATTTATTATTCATGTATATAGAAACAGATCTTTAAAATATGTGTCGATTCGTACTTCCCAGAAGTGCAATAAAAAATGTTAGTACGAATAATTTCGGTGACTTATATTTAGCAATTTAAGAATATTTATGGCGTTACTTTTGCTCAAAACAGTATTTTTTAACGTAAAATTTTTTACATTAGGTTTTATTTAACTTATAATGATCTAAAAAGATACTTTTTTATACAATAAATGAATCTCATCACTTAGTTATTAGTCTAAAATACGCAGATGCAATTTTTTGTAATTCCACAATTTTTTTTTTTTTTTTAAATTTGTTCACTTGTCTACGAAATGATCATGAAATGATTTGCTAAATTTAAATGTATAATCGTTTTTTATAACCGTTTAGTACAAAATATTCCAGAATTTTTCTCTAGGCCATGGTTTTAGCGAAGTCGTTTTTAGACGATTAATTCATTAAGTAATTTTAGTTTAGTTTCCAAGAGCTTTTAACAACAAGTTACAAGAATACGAAAACTTAATTTGTTGTAAAGCATGCGACTAGTTTTCTTGTGCCTTATAATTCTTTCGAGGTGTGTATACATATATGTATAACAAATTATTTCAAGAAGTTTCAATAATATCCATCAACAAATTAACAACATCAATTTCTTATTTGTTTTTAAGGGGTTTTTAAAGGGTTAATTACTCATTTGCGCATGCATTAAAGTAAAATGAAAAACTGAAAATTTTCAATACCTCTGAATAGAATTTGTTTAAATTCGTAATTTTTAAGTTCTTGAGGGACCCTTTCCACCGCCAAACGTTTCGTTCGGTATTCCTCTTTATGTAAAAGACTTATATTTCGACATTCCGCTCCTTTTACAAAGCTCTTCCCGAGTTATGGATATGTAATCTATATTTGTATCTAAAAAATGTATCTGCAGGTATTAGCAGCAAATCTTTTTTCTTCTAAAGTGTACATTATACTGTTAAATATGTATATGTCTGACTTTACAAAATATTTATTACACAAATAACATACAATTTCGTGAATTATGAAAGTTAAGTAATTTTCTGAAAGGGGACTTTGTATGGTAGTTAGGTTCAAATGAGGTCCGATCATTATCGGTACGGTTTACGTTCGTTTAAAAGATTTTTCCTTTTTTTTAAGTGTTAAAGATAATTAACATTTTACTTTTGCATAAAATTCTTCAAACTTATGTATATACAAATTTAGTTTAAATTTTTTTACATATTCTTTTTTTCTTAAAACAAAAATTCAATATCATATAAAAGAAAAAATGTGGTGTGGAAAAAAGGCTAGAAAATGCCAGAAGCTATAACATAAATTTCGAGGTTAAATGATAAATAAAAAGTCTAAAAGGCTAACTTGGCAACACTGGGAATGTATAAAATCAGATTAATGTAGTCCTGTTAACAACTACTTACGACGAATGAGATATCAAATTTTTATTTTTCTTTCTAATCACATTCATTCAAATAATTTATGTACATAAGTACATATATAGAACTATGTTAAATTGAGTGAAGAGAATGTACTATGTACACTGTTTTCATTAACTACACTTTCAACTGAAGAATGACCACAGGCCATTTAGTGACAATTAGAACTTGTCCAATATTTGTTTTGAAAACACTAAGGCATGAAGTACATATAAGCAGAATGAAGATTAGGAAATAAGACAACATACGAGTACAACTACAAATATTCATGTCCATACAATCTGTCACAAGGATACAATGATTAGAAATGAAAGGAAAAGTAAAACAAGACCTTGTAACACTTGGAATTTATATTTTTAATTTACGTTAATCTAAAACTGAAATACAATCAATGAGATGAATATTTAGGATTGTTAATGATGAAAATTCTTGGAGACTTCAATGTAATCATCATATTCGTCAATGTTTTTGTTGAAACTTATCCGATGAGATTTTGACTGTGGTGAATAATGAGCTGGATGTGGTGGTGTTCTAGGATATGTTCGTGATGTTGGTAGCCTGCCTGTCTTCTTAGTGGGTTTTCTGGTTGTAGTTGAGGTCGTTTTGGTAGATAAACTATTAATATCCTGAAGTTTATTCGTAAGGAATGTTTGAAGGTTTTCTACCGATATTAGTGGTGGCGATGTTTTGCCATCATCAAAATCATTATCTTTATCGTAGATAAGCGGATATGATATAGGATAGAACTGTGGTGGAAAATACGCTGATACCTGTGGATATGGGTAATATGAGTATCCAGGATAAAATGGTGGATATGGTAAGTGGGAAGGTGGAAAATGGTAGAGTGGATGATTAGTTGGAGGATATGTAGGTCTAAGTGTTGGTGGTTCCATTGATGTCGGCTTAAAAGTTGTAGTTGTTGTTGTGGTTATTGATTCTTCAGGGGTTTCGGTTGGGGGTTTATCTTTACCGTCATCCAAAACCAAAATACAATTCATTGTAGGTAAATCATGCGAACTATTATTCTGTTGTACCAATGAATTTGTTAGTTCATCAACGTTCAAATAGGAGCCTGCATCATTTTGTCGTCCAATTACATCATTTGTATCAATTGTGCACAACGGATAACCACCCAAAACAGCCGAATCTTTGGAGTTATTATTGATACCAAATATATTTGGCAAGTATTTTCCAAGTTGAAAACCAGCTGCTAAACCAGCTAATCCTGTAATGGCACTATTTATAAGACGGCCCTGCGATATCACTGGTTTTCCATTATTTATTTTCATTATTGATTCATATTGTACACGTGTGATTGGTCGTACGCGAACTAAAATTTCCTTTTCATTCGCTAAATGCAAATTAGTTAAAAATTAAAACAACATAGTATTTTTTTTTAATTAGAGAGACATACCAGCCGAAGCTACAGCAAAGTAAGCCAGCATTAAGGTGGCAAAATCTTTTAAAATTTTCATTGCAACTTATTGCAATTCTACCAATTAACAACGAAGAGTAAATCTTCGCTTTACAATAATTTAATTTGAACTAATATGTCAGTTTAACAGTGTAGGGTCTATTTATACAATCAGCGCTTTTATTATGTATTTTATTTTCTTGTTGGTTTTTTCCATTTCATAAACATTTTTATTGATTCATCTCCATCATTTTAATATTCTCACGCTCTGTCTTAATCTATATTTGCTTATATGTATGGTTTAAATTTGACGTTCGCTTAAGATAACAAAATAAATAAATGCAAATATATTTTTTTTAAATTTCATCTTCTTCCTAAGAACCATAGACCAAATTTTTGACCCATTTTTATAACTACGGAATGATAAAGAATATTAGTTTTTATAACATTACACATGTGTGAAATCTAACCCAGTTACTGCTACTATAAAATAACTCACATTTTATGACCACAAAATTCCAAATTAATCTGTTAGGTGTGTATTTAGTATTAATTATTGACTTTAATAGCCCCTAATTTATGTTTCTACAGCAAATAATTAGGCGGTTAAAATATTTAAAAAATCAGACACAGAAATAACATTCCAATATTACTTAACTCTCCCAGTTTATGTCTTATTATTAACTGAACATTAATGCTTTTCAAATATGAAATTATGCCCGCTGAATTTTACATTGCACTATTTATAAATACTAAGGTATTTAATCGATTAGCGGTAGTTCGTTAAACCGATTCCAACAAATTGTTTTGGAACTAGTATGTTTTACATTGAACAAGTGTAGTACCAACGTATGTATACAAAGTTAAAAGATATTTTAGAAATAGTAAAATTTCATAAAACCCATAATGCCGTTTTTCTTGAAACGTCAGTTTTTGGATTAAGGCAATTACTTATGTATTTACTAATATTTAATATTTCAATTGACATCTTCATATTTAAATATATTTGTTCAATATAAAACTATGATCGTTGAGTTTTTCCATTTTAGATATTTCAAATGTGTATCTCATGTATAAATTGCCAACACTGATAATATAGAAAAAAATTAGAATTGGAGTATAAAACTTAGAAGCTGTATATTTTTTTTTATTTTTTAAATATGTATATCCTCAAATAAAATTCATAGCTATCGCTGTGTAAAATTTAGGGATGCCAAACGGGACTGGCTTTTACAAATCCCGGGATTCGGGATTTTGAAAATTGCAATCCCGGGATCCCGGGATATTTCGGGATCCCGGGATTTTTCGGGATCCCGGGATTTTTCGGTATTTCGGGATTTTACGGGATTTCGGGATTACATGAATTTAATTATTTTATATATGAAAATTTTTAAATCATCATATTTGTAAAGAAAATTGTTTAATTTTGTGGAAATTTAACAGACAGAAGATATATTTAAATTAAAACAATCCAATTAATTCCAATTTTTAAATAAAAACTTTCAGAATTGCATAATTTCTGAAACTTTTTAAATACATACTTACTTCCTAAATAAAAATAAATATCAAGTTCCGAAATTAGACATAAGCTCTTTTTAAAACCTCATACTGTTCCATGTGAACTAATAATTATAACAGATACCAATTCAATTATTCGAACATCAATTTAGAACCTATTCTTTGAAAAATATTTGGAATTTTACTCAAAATACATATTAGTTTTGGAACATATTATTATATTCGTAGTATTAATTTAAAATTTTAGGTGCATTCAGAACAAGGTAATTTACCTTTACCGGTATCATTCAGATTTGTAGAAAGTTAGAAATGTAAAATCCTCTAGTATTGAAAAATAAAGTTTGTATTCGACTGTGCCGAAATTAAATACCCACCATCAAAATATTGTAATGTATTGATATTAATATCAGCATCAATGTGATTTTCAGAGGAGGTCCAATTAGGTTTTTTTGTGTCAATTTTGGTCCAAATTTGCAGCCCAAATAGAATGAGTCTTCTAACTCGTGTTTTCAGCTTACAGACACAGAATGTGTATACTTTTTGGGTCGGTCTACGACCAACATTGCAATGTGCTAACAAGTAAAAAGTTATAGTTGGGCGAAGCCTACCATATAATACCCTACACCAGTTATAAAAATAAAATGTGATTTATTGTTCATAATAAAGCATCTAAGTTGAATTGTACCTTGCCTCAGATATAATTTAGCTATTTTTTGTTGAATAAAATTGTGTACATTTAAGTCATATTTCGAAGGGGGCTTTGCATAGGGGCTAGCGTCAAATGAGGCCGCATCATCAAAAAATACATCAGGGTCATGAAGGCTAGTATAGAACTTGGTTTTGCAGCATTTTGTCGAGTTACGAGTATATTGAACATAATTATGAACTTAAAAACCCTATTTGGGGGGTTCAGTTGTATGGGGGCTAGGTCAAATATTGGACCGATGTTATCCATTTTCAATAGGATCCGTCTCTAGTACAATAGAAGATCATGCAAAATTTCATTGAATTATCTTCAAAATTGCTGTAGTTTGATAACAAGGTTTACACGGACGGACGGACAGACGGACGGACATAGCTAAATCGACTCAGAAAATGATTCTGAGCCGATTGGTATACTTTAAGGTATAGGACCAATATTATTGTGTGTAACAAACATCAGCACAAACCCAATATACCCTCCCCACTAAAGTGGTGTAAGGTATAAAAACGAAGTGAATAAATAAATTTATATGTGCTATGTGTATGGACTCATACCACTTTAAAAAATAAAAGGTTCAAATATGTATAAAATTAGCTCTGCGGAATTTTGTTTTGCATGAGTCAAAAATAAAATAAGATCGTAATTTTCAAATTAATTAAAATTATGGCTCAAAAAAAGAAAATAAAAACAGTTTTTTGAAACAAATCCTAATCCCGAAAAAATCCCGGGATTTATTTTCCAAATCCCGGGATTCGGGATTTACCAATCCCGAAAAATCCCGGGATTTTCGGGATCGGGATTTCGGGATTGGCATCCCTAGTAAAATTTCAATCAAAAATTTTAGTTATAACTTGCCAAAATCAATGCTTGACATTTTTCTAAAATGAAATAAAGCATATATACAAACATACATATGTAATTGAATAAAACCTGGACAGAATCAACATAAGATATCAGAGCATAATTTTGTAAAATATCATGGATGTTCTTGATTATCCTTTTAAATTCTTAATAGTAAGTAATAATAAATTGTCACGCCCCATTTCTATTTTCATGATATGGACTGAACTGAACTGAATTTTTTTTCCAATAACAACACTCATTACTAATTCCATATATACATTCCGAGACACGACCCTTCCTTCGTAATGATCATTTTATTAAAAATGTGACGTTGATGATCCACAGTTATCAATTTACAAACCTACTGAATTCGCATATACATACCTCCAATTTTAAATAAGAGTAAGTATATATTTCTTAACATATGTATGTAGTGAAACCAAAATTACCAGTTTTCAGATCTGAATTTTTACGTTTTTAAACACAAGTCCTGTAGGAAAAAAACTACTAAAATAACACAGGCATACGGTATTAAGGGGTATAAAAAGGTACTGAAAATGTAGTATAGTACAGAGTTTTCCATGCCTGGTCTACAGTATTTTTAAGCAAAAGTTTATGGTACTTTTTACACACAATACATTAAATTAAAAAATCAAGTTATTAACACAAAAAATATTTGGCGATAAATTTAATTTTTCAATTTATCTCAGGAATAGATGTAAATAGATCAATTGTATACTATTATGTCAAAAACCGCGTTTTGGACAAAGTGATCTTTACTCCCTTATTCGTAGCCATGCTTCAAATGTATGTAAATATTAATAGAAAATACCAATCTTTTAAGTTTTAGTTGGTTTTATTATTGTAATGACATAAATTTGCAATAAATGTAGACGAGATATTTATTCCTACATTCATACATATTTTAAATTTCTTATTCAGTATTTTTTTATAGTTGCTTGTTTTTCAAATGAAAGTGAATTTTATTTTGAAGTCTTTCACATAAATATTTTCTAAACTCGTCTGAACTGTTATGCAAAGGTCAAGTCATCGCACCGAATCAATACGCATTAACATATTCAAATTTCCGTCGTTATGAAAATGGTATAAGTCAAGAAATCATTAAATAAATTTATTTTACCATTCAAATGAGTCATAAATATAATATAAACAAACAAGATATAATAAATATGAGATAAGTATATCAAATTTAATTATGATAGACTTAATACATTATTTAAATTGATTAACAAACATACATATATGTAACGTCATTTAAAATGTCATAATCATATATGAAAAGTTTAAATGGCATCAAATCTAATTTAAATAATTATTAAATTCTGGATGGAAATTAAATATTCTTCTTGTCTACTCATATAATGAAATAAATAAAAAAAAAACTAAATAAAATATGCAAATGAATTTGTATATACATACATATGTACATACATATGTATACATAAAAAAGAAATTTTTAGTTTGTCATTCTAATAATAAACTAAATTCATATTATCCAAATAGTCCCTCCGTCTTTTTATGGAGTTAGAAGTAAAATAAAATAGACACAAACATAAATAGAGACACAAAAAATATTTAGATATTTCGATGGTAAAAGTTTTGGCAGCAGATCAAAGTGCTAAAATTTAAGCATTGAGTTGTAATTTAAATTTAAACGAGTTGTGACAATCCCTTAGAAGATCGAGTTTAATTTATTCATTTATATTACTGTTTAATCTTTTTAACTGTTCATTTTATTTAAAATAGGTTGACTTTGTTGATTTGATCAATGACCAGTCAATGAGGCTAAAAATGTTTTTTAGAACTTTGTATAAATATAAGACAAGTTTACAGCTTGAAAATTAGTTTTTAGCTGAATTTCGTAAGATAAAGACTCATGTTTCCTGCAAAAATGGAGCTTAATTTATTTACCTTTCTATTTTTGATTTTCATTTTGTTGGTGTTTTCATCAAATACACACGCTGCTTGTAAATAAATATACTCTTCTTAAAATTGTATATATTATGTATACATTTTTGACAATATGTTGATTTTATTTGTGAATCATTCTAGCTACTACAAATGGAAAGTTATTGAAATTCTATCCAATTACAAAACAACAGTACAGGGACATACTTGCATTAACTAAACAGCAGTCCGCTATACCTGAAACAGATGTTATGGAAACTCATCGTTCCTTGGCGGATTGGAGTAATAGCTTACGTAGTAGCTGGAATACTTTATTCAATGTTACTGGTGACAGCCTCAATAAGAGTTTGGGACAAAAAGGGGATAGAACTTATCCGATTTGTGTTATTAAAACTCAAGACCACATGCGTCGTAAGCGTGGTGCTAGACAATATGATTATAATAATGGTTACGCTGGCTTAGCACCTAATGTTGTCTACCCGGGATTCTCATACTACGGAAGGCCTCCATACCACAGGCAATCATACTATGGACATCCACAATATGGTTCCCAGTATTATCAAACACCATATGAAGAAGAAAATATCGATGACGAAGCTGCAAATGACGGTGAAGATACTGAAAATAATGACAATGAACCTGAAGAGATGCCAGATGTAAATGAAAATGACAACGTTCCGGATAAAGAATCAAATTCTCCCATTATAAATTGTGTTGTTGTAATTCGCCGTAAGAATCAAATTATTAATAAACCTATAAACCCAGAAACTGACATCACAGACGACACTAACGATGTCGAAGGGTATTCTCCACCATCTTATGGACAACCGCAATATCCTCATTACCCATACCCCTACCCACCACAACATCCACCATTGTATCCGTACCCTCCACATGATCACTATCCCTACCCTCCACATCCCCATCCATATGAAAATTCTCATCCTTCCTCCAGAAGCAACAAAATTTCAGGCATGGACCCTTTAGCTATGGTTCAGTACCAACAAATGATCGCTGAATACTACAGACATTTACATGCCCTTTATATGGCGGATGCAACCACTGGTAATGCCAAAAGTGATGATCAGTCTGATTATGTTGATGATGATGTTGAAGAATACGATGACAAAGAAATCGGACAATCAAGATAGTGATAGAGAGGAATATTAATATTTTTTACATTACATTCTCACGTTATTATATTTCTTCAACTTAGTATAAGATATTAAAATAAATTGTTATACATATGCATATTACAACATTTCAGACCAAAAACTTTATTTACAATTTCAAATGTAACAATTTTCCTAATTAGTTCACAGTAAGATCTTTAAAATTAATATATACAAAAATAAAATCAAGACTTTGAAAATCATGTATCCAAAAAAAAAAAAAAAAAAAAAAAATAATGAAATATTTTCAAGTTTTTAAAGAAATCAATTTTTGTTCTTTTACAAATAAATATGTATTAACAAATAAACAAAAATTCATATTAAAACAACAGTTTTTTTAAAATTTGTCTAAACCATATATGTTTATTTTGTTTCTTCATTTCGTTATTTACTTTTTTAATATTATTAGTTTCATACACAGTGTTTTATATTTATATTTAAACTTAAAATACTTTATTATTATAATTACTTTAATTTTTATTATAATTAATATACGAGTACTAATCAATTATTGTGATAGTGTTTATTTTGTTTTACTATGTATTACTAACTTATTAATGCAAATTATGATTTTTTAATATTTATTCTAATAAATATTTGTTGCTACTTGTTTATAACATAATTTATGTGAGATTAAATCTATGTATTTATGTATAAATATAATTATCATATTATTTCACTATAATACTATTTATGTATGCATATTTATGATTATATTTAATGCTTAATTTTATAAACAATAATTACCACACCTGGTAAAAATCATTAAAATTATCTATAAAATCTTTATATGTACAAACATAACAATAATATGAAAAATTCTAAAATGGAAAACAAAGTGGCTGCCAAAGTTTCCTTTTCATTAATATATCATTCAATATCGAAAACTAAAAAGTAGTGCTTAATAGAATAAATTGAAATATTTATCAGGTTATCACATATTATCCAATAATTCCTTATGGTTGATAGATCTAATTACGATAGATCCAGCAATAACCTGGTAATGTCATCAACCTACACAAAAACTTACATTTCAATTACCACTACTCTCCATCTGCATTACTTTGCAGTGCTTTAGTAACTACTTACATAAAAATTTAAATTTTTTGAATGATACAATTTTTGTTAATTATAATATAATACAAATTAATTTGAAATGCCAGTAAAAATTTGATCTTGAAATTTGATGCAAAGTCTAAAAAATCAAAATAAATAAATAAAATATACAATTCTGTCGAATTATAACAATTATTTTTCATCGAAAATACAAATACTTGTACAGAATAGTTAATGTTTTTAAATATACTTATCCCTCGATTTCACGATACCCGTTTTATAGATTTCATTACATTCGATTTACAACACAGTGATTGCATATGGTTTCCTTAATATAAGAAAGACGTACCTATCATTTAAATTATTTTTATTAAGTTGAAAGAAATCTTATTAAAAACAGATGGTTAAGATGAAGGAAAAATTTTAATGAAGTTTTAAGTTTTATCAAATTGTTATTATTTGTCAAATCACAGAGCACCTCTTCAGGGCGTTTCTAGGGCAGTTAAGGAGTTTTTATTATTAACATTTGAGAAAACTTACATATAAATTCAAAAACTTTGTGAAGAATGCCTTTAACAAACAATAGAAAATTTCAACAGAATGGTTTGTTTAATTAGATTTTCCTTCTGCAACACTGTGAAATGGCAATCAAATCAAAACTTACAGTCCTAGTCATATCCAAATTTTATTAAAAAATCGGGAAGTTCTTTATACCGTTTATAAATTGTTAAAATCGCAAATAACTGCTTTTATAATGATCTGATCGTTGTGCAGTGTTACATGTGCAGTTTTAAAATACAAATACATATTTTCACTTGATTATTGGGACCGACACACAGAAAAAAGATTTTATAATTCCGAAGGAGGAAAAGATACAATAAGAGTATGAAAAAAAGTTTTGGATCTACATACACACATATGTACATATGCACATCAAATTGGAAAGCAGTTTCATTTTCCTTATTAAATGTCGTTGAAATTTATCACATTTATTATGTATTGCAAGTGTTTGGAAAATTAAAATATATGTTAAAAAACAACATTTTTTATGTTAAATTAATACTTTAATGATTGTAATACTTATTTGTGAATGTTTATAAACATAAACAATTTGATTAGTTAGTGTTGGAATTTATTTGTATTTGTTGTTGCATGTAAAACATTGTTATTGTTATTTGCATATTTCATATACATTTTTACCATATTTCTTTTCAGCTTTTTATAATTGTGCTTAAATATTTAATTTGTATATTAATACAATAAATACAAATATTTTCGTTTACATATTTTATACTTGTATTAAATTTATAATTAACATTAGTATGTGTGTGTGTTTTTTTCATAAATCACTGTTTTTTTCCCTTAAATTATGTTTTTATTTACACCTTTGTTACTTGACAAAATTTTAAAATGCAATTTGTATGATAATTTTTATTTATTGGAATTTTTTAAATATTTTATTTAATTAATTATAAAATGACACTAATAAATCTTAAATTTATATTATGATCATTTACAGTGCACGTGGTTGGTATTAAATAAAAAATGTACAATTTGATAATAAAAATAATAATTATAATTTTAAATAAAGTTTATTTTATGTATGTTTTTATGTATAATTAATAACACAGAGTTTATTTCACCTAAATGAAATTTTGTATTTAATCAATCAGATGAAGCTTTCAACATGAAAGGATAAAATATAAAAAGGACAAATCAATAAATTGTTTTCGCTGCAAGATATCGGGTTCTATAAGTTGCCATAAATGTAATCAAAAATTTAAAAAATATGTAATGTTTTTTCTATGAAATGTACAGTTTAATTTTGTTATTAATATTTTACTGCTATAAAATTATAAAAAAAAAAAAATCAAGTGAAAACAATTTTTTGATATTCTCTACAAAAATTTAGTACTCTTCAAAGGACTAGGACTGGTTCAAAACTAATTCAAATATATGGAAAAAAAAACATACTTCATTTAACATTGTGTTGTCCTAGGTGAGGACCACGTAATCCATTACACATTACATCGGAGTAATTCCAAAACTACTCCCTTGCATAAATTATGGGATTACACGATCCGCAACATGGTCTCATGTAATGCAGGCTATGGACCATGATGTTTTCAAAAAAATAAACGTGATCCCTGCCTGCATTAATTAAATAGGTCTACCAAGCGAATCATGTACTCCAATGATGTATACAGGAGAGTAGTTTTTCAATTACTTTAATAGTTCATGTACTCGAATAATTTTTGCAGGGTTTTTATCGCCACAAGTCTTTAATCGATTTCTTTATTGTTATATTTATTTTCACTTTTTAATGCTTTAAAATTATAATTATATATACATATGTATGTATATTAGAGTTTCAACAAGCTTTTTATACTATACATATATTCTATATGGAACGGATAGGGCAGTTCTGAAATTTTCAAAAATTTTATAAAAGTTATAACAACTCTAATGTACATATTTTAAAATACAAGAAGTTATCTAAAAAACACAATCTCCCATATACTTGTTGTTGAACTACACTTCGTGCAACTTTTATGTTAATATTGGAAATTATTTTAAATGAGATTAATTTCTATAAAAGAAATTTACGTATGGGCAATTTCGTGTAAAGTGACCTAACTTAAAAAATCGATATCCTTTGGACAATTTAGAAAAGTTACACTCATTTGAAAAAATCCTGTATGACCAAAATTTCGAACTTTGATTCCCTCTAACTCCAGCAGTTCCTGGCCTATTTGTATTTGGCCTACTATCCAATAGTACTAACCTTGGTGCACATTTCAACAAATCATTTTTTAAAGTTGTCCCTTTATTATGAAAAATATTAAAAAATTATTGTTCAAATTTATTCGAAGATTTTTTTTTTGCAATATGAAATAAAAATATAAACAGATATTTGATTTATAATCTATGTAACATTATATTGAACTTTTAAATATTTTTATAAAAACTACAATTTAAATATTAAATAAGATAAAAAAACATGCGGAGAAACAAAACGTAAAATTTTATAATATTCGTACTTTTTTGGTTAATTTTTAATATTTGTTACATCATTGTGATGATTTCTATATAATTTACAAAACTACTTCCTTGTAAGAGCATCTTAAACTAACTCACTGATTAACTGATTCGCTGACTGACTTATTCTTTGCACAAAAGATTAATTACCACTTTCTCATTCTTTGAGTTGCTAAAAAATGAGAACAACAATGAAATCTTTTGTTCCATCATTTCATTCGTTCAGTTTCATTAATTTGTATACATTTTGCTCACCCATCCATACTCACAGATGTATGTACGTTATTCCACAAAGCCTTTTACATTCTTCCCATTTTCCTTTACGATTCCATCTTAATATTATTATAATTTTATTTTATTTATTTTGTTTTTCTGCCATATAAAAAGAACTTAAACTTTATGTATTGTATTTTTTGTGTTCTTCCAAGATACGTGTACTACTTGTATTTTAAAACTCATGTCTGTCGTAAAAAATTGAATCATAGAAAAGTATATGGAATGAATTAAAACATGAAAAAACACCACCTTAACAATCTACTTGGTTTTGTTTTGTTGTTTTTTTAAAGAAATCTGGGTTGTCTTGAACTTTGTTCATCATAAACTTTAATCTTTCATCTAGAGATTCTGCCATTGCAACTCAAATGCGGTGCTTTCCTGCACATAGTTGCTAACATAGCAGTTGTTGGTAATGTTGTTCCGTTGGTATCAAATAATGCTGACGATGGAATTGTTCTTATTTCTTTGAATGATAACACAGGTAAAATGTATTGTTTAGATTGTGCCATTTTAGCAACAGTAGATATTCTTTTCGTATTTTGTACTACTGTTTTTGTAGCTGACATTGATGTTGACGCTGATGCATATGTTGATGTTGCATTTACCATTGATAATGATGCATTACTTGTTGATGATTTCTTCATTGCCAATATGGTTATTGTGGTTTTAATTGTTTTGCTTCTGCTGGTGCACATAAAGTTTTGTAAACAACATGTTAGAATAGTGAATAACATGCAACAAAAGGTTGTGTAAAAGTTGGCATTATTCATGTTGCTGGAATTATGTTGCATTGCAGCTGGATGTTCGCCTTAAATAAAAAAGTATAATTTAATTTTAAAATTAGTATAAGTTCTGAGTAATGTTTAACTTAAATAAATAATCCAATTTTCGTTATCAGACTCCTAATTTTATTTTTTCTTATTTTACATTTATTTTATCCTTATCAAAACGGACAGAAAACGGATAACCGCTCCAGTATCAAAAATCGAAATCGGCAATTTTTGATATAAACAAGTGTTATTGTTTGACCTAAACATGTTGATTACTATTAAAAATTCTGTAAATTTGTTGTTTTATATTATAGGTTTTTGCACCAAAATGACCTGAGAAAACTGGTTTTTAATTAATATATATGAAAGTGAGAATAAGAAATATTACTCTCTTACATGTACAGATATGGTGTAAATTCGTATTGAATGAGTATTTTTTTTATTAATATTATTTTTAATTGTCAATATTGGTCCATTTTAAATGAAGATCTTTCTTACAGTGGTCAACTGAAATTTAATAAAAATGGCTAATTCAAACCATTATTTCATAAAATATCGACAAATAATATTAAACAAATATATTAAAATTTTTTAAATGATAGAGTTTGTGTTTGATTAATATTTTAATTTTTTCAATCATTGTTTTAATAGATTTTTGAATATAAGTTGGCTCTAGCCCCCATACAAAGTGACTTGAAAGTCAAAATTAACTTATAAACACTAATATCACCATGAAATTCTGAATAACTAACCTTAATGTAGACGTAAATCCGTTTACCAAAACGTATAAGGATAGGCTCATTTTTACCCTTGCCCCCATATAACTTTTTTTGGTCAACAAATTGTCATAATATTTCGGAATTAAGGTAAAAAACAAATTAAATGCTTTATTATTAAAAAAATAATCCACACTTTGGTCGGCCATGATCATCTATATATTCTTACATGTTTGATAATAAAATAAATTGTCCTATTATTCAATGAAATAATTTTCATTTTAATTTATTTACGCCCTAAAACATACGAATGTTACATTATTGTGTTATTAACAAAAACATTTCTAGTCATTGTCTAAGTGTTTTTTATTTAGTTCATTCTAGGTATATGTGAAGGTCCTTTGATAGCCATGTTCATTCTTCTATTGAGAAGGGTTTACTTTCTCCTACATTTATTTTACAAGTTCTGTGTTAGTTGACCTGTTATTATCAGTTTAAATAACTTCGTTGTTTATTTTACGTTTTGAACAAAGTTTATTCTACTTATATAATATATGGATATATTTTTTAATTTTAAATAAAAATTGTTCATACAAATATAGTAAAATATTTTGTTATCACAAATTTCCACTTGGCTAAACAGAAACTATAAATATAGAGAATTATAATAGAATGGAATAGAATAGGACAGTTGAGTCTGGTTATGAAGGTGTGTGTCTCACGATTCAAAGTGTGGATATTATTTGTATGTATATGAATGTGTGTCAAAAATATTGGAAAAGTTTAAAGCTGAATTAAAATTAAATATCTATAAAATAAGTTTTCAATATTTGAAGTTATTTGTACTGTAGTTTCTTAAACATATGTACATATGTACTATATTCATGCTAAATAATATTACCAACCGGAATAATTAATTATGGTTTGTTCATATTCTTTAAACCTTTTAATAAGATTATTAAAATTACTTAATATATATTATGGAGATACACAACTTACCTATAATTACATGGACATATACACTCGATGATTTTGCTATCGTCGGTACACAAGTGTAATTGCCAGTGTCACTGGATGAGGCTCTTCTTACTTTCAATCTGAAAATTATAAACGGAATTGTTAATATAGTTGACAAATGCTTTATAATTAACAATATGAACACAGTCCTACTAATTAGATTTTCCTGTGTAAATGTCCTAATGAAATAATTTCATTTAAAATTTTTTGAACAACTTGTAAAGTGTAAATGTTTTCAAAATATATTCAATTCCTAAGAATTGCTCGTAGTAAAAGCATGAAAATTAATTTTTTTAAATAAAATAGTGCCTTTGTTCTGTATTTTTCGAATCGAGAAGAAACTTTAAAATATAATAGTCTTTGACTTTTTAGCAGTGAGATTTTAATAGTTTTGAAAAACACATTAAAATATAAGTAAAATTATTTGTATTAAATTTTAAAAATTTTTTGTCAATTCGAAAAATACAAAACATAGGCACTGTATTTAAAAAAATAATATTTAATTTATTTTATAAATCGTGAGTATCTATGATATTCCTTTTTATTTGTACATAATTAATTAAATTCAGCAAAGCAAATATCACTTACCTTGAAGTAAGACCATCCGACCAATCGTTTTCAACTGTTATCCTTGTCCCACTATCAATTTCATTTTGATTTGTAGTCATGTCAATTATTTCAGATCCTTGAAAAAAAGTAGAAAAAAAAATTTAAAAATCAGAATAGTGATACTCCACAAAAACAATAATTAAAATAAAGAAATGAAAAAGAAAAACATTAAACTGAAGTAAACCACAATTAAATTAACACATTTTTAATGTAGAAAATGTAGAAAAGTGCTCACAGGAGGTGACATTGAGATGGAAGGACTTTATATTTGTTTATTTTTTTATTTTTTTTTTTTTTTTTGTGAATTAAACATTTTAGGTTTGTGTGTTGGCGGTGTCGCTGTCCGCAATGAACATCAATGCTGGTATATATCATGAATATGTGTTAAATATCAGCCAGCAACAACGTCATAAAAAATATTACTATAAGACTAATATAACTCGAAATTCTATTTTTTACAACTGAGAACTAAATAATATGCGTAATTCTAAAGTCTTTCATATAATTAGATCTATTTTTATTTTACATTTACATATTAACCTAAATTTGATTTAATTTCTCAAATTCCATTATTTGCTAATAAGTTATTTAAGAAATAGTGAAATGTCATCAAACAATCAAAGCCGTTTTTGGCGAAATGATTTTTTTTTGACTTATGTCAGTCATGTACTAAATGTGCGATACGTATGTATACATATTTTATATAATAATATTATACATGTGTATATTTACAATGAACATTGTTGGAAATAAATTTATTTAATTAAAAATGTAAAATGAAAAAAAAAAAAAATAAAAAAAGTTAATTACATAAACTTATTTATAAGTGCTACACAATATACTCAAATAAATTTTTGGCTACCAACAGAAACGGAATAATTCGAAACTCAAAAACATATTTTAATTAAGTAATTGGATGTTTAAAATTTGAAAACAAATCATTCAAATGGATTAATTAAAAATGCATTAATTTTTGCTGTTTTCTTTGAGTACATGCTTAAAACTTCTTACCTTTATACCAAAATATATTGCCCAGTTCATGAGGGCCCTGTATTATTTTACATGTTAAATTTATGTCACTGCCACTTTTGACGTACAAATCTGTAGGACCAATTATTGTGGCTTTAAGTTCTGAAAATAAAAACAAGTCAAGATTTATAAACTTAAATTTATGTATACATGATTATTTTATTTTAAAGTAATTAAAAAACATATGTTTATAGGAAATTTCATATCAAGTGACCAACTCAAAAAATCCATCTTGATAAAACTTGCACCATGGTTAGAGAGAAGGCCAGACACAAATTTTTAGCTCTATCGGTCCGGAATTAGAGGGGGTCAAAGTTGGACATTTTCGTCATACAGGGTTTTATTCATTATGAGGGTAACTTTTCACCAATTGATCCTAGCAAAAATTGTCCAAAGGAGCTCAGATAGGCCTACTTATTCAATAGTACTAACCTTGGTGCAAATTTTATCAAAATTGGAAGACATCGATTTTAAAAGATGGGTCACTTGACACGAAAAGACCCATATATATGTCGTTAAAATAAAGCTTTTTTTCATAATAAACTGCGACTAAATTGCAAGAAATATTCACTTTCACTTTTTATCCTTCTTTTTTATGTTCGCTGGTATTTTTATTTGAACATAAATAATAAAGTACATTATGTAGTGCACAGTGGTATGGAAAATAAAAAAGAGGTACATACATTTCTAACTTTTAATAGGCTAGTCAGCAAGCGCTGTCGAGCTGAATGTGACTGTCAAATAAATGAAAACTCAGAACTTAAACTCGATAACACTTAATTTTCCTAACGAGCGCGTCATTATAAAAGTTTTATAAATTAGGCCAATTCTAGCTTATGCTTCAATAATCTGGTGGACTTATTTGAACAAAGTGTAATATCAAACTACTACTTGGGTATAAGTTGTACCATGAGTACTACGTCAACCAAGGCTGGATATTCCTTACATTCAATAATAAGATAAGAGGCGGTACTTACAGCCGAACGACCCAAAACTTTGGCCGAAATGGCCAAAAGCGGTTATAGGACACGTTATCAATATATACTGGACACATTGGAAGGCTACACGCAATCATCGGACGTGCGTGACCTATGCGGTCACGCATGAACATTAGAGCAAATACCAGTAGGAATCCGTTGCTATACGGATGGCAAAGTGGGTCTGGGGTAAATCCCCATGATGAATGGGACCAATATTTCATCTAAATTCCCGAAATTTTTTGTTTTAAGCAATTTGTGCTATTATCTAGAGATCTTGAGGTCGCGGGTGGCTCAAATTTTGTATTCAAGACTAAGCCCTATGCTGAATTTGAAAATGAATTCAGAAATGAGGTAGGTCCAATATTTCATCAAAATTTCTGAAAGAAAATTCAGAACAATTTTCCAACGAAATTTCATTTCACACCAGTTCTTGTCTAGGCTAGTAAGTACTAAAATTAGTCAAGACAAGAAGACATTTAGGAAAATTAAGCGAGAAAATAGAATTTCTGGGTTGGTAAAATGGGTTCCGATTTTTATAAGGAAATTTGGAGAAATATTAAATCTAGCTCAATTCTGAAACTCATTTTCAGATTCAGTACAGGTTTTAATCTGAAATGTAAAATTTCAGTATTCATAGTATTTAAGACAAGAACCATCATACATACAAAGTAAATTTAGGAAAATTAAGTCAGAAAATGGAATTTTGTGGGAAAATTGTTTCAAAATTTTTGTCCAGAAATTTTAATGAAATATTGGACCAAGCTCAATTATGGAACCATTTTTAGATTCAGTAAATTCCGGAAATGTTTTTATTTTGAGAAATTTGTGGTATTATCTCGAGATCATAAGATCATAAATTGTAATTTGTAATACTTGATGGAAAAATGAATGCGGGTATTTCGTTCTTTTTTACCAACTATTTAGTTGTGATTAATTGTAAAAATTACATTTACATTCATACATACGTACGTAATACATATTACACAAAAGACACAATAAATATAAAAAAAATAAAAAATTATTACAGCATTATTATCACTGCTACAAAAACAAGGTACAATTTTACAAAATCGCGAAACATTTTGTGAAATTTTGAACAAGGGTAAAATTAATCAAGGGTGACGGAAATTTTATTTTCAAAACTAAAACTTATGTTGAATCCGAAAATGAATTCAGAATTGAGCTAGGTCCAATATTTCATCCAAGTTTCTTCTCAATCCTGCGTTTCTTGTCCTGTCTAGTAAGCAGTGTTGCCAGGTTAACCTTTTTAAGGTTAAATTTAGCCTTTTTATTTATCATTTAGCATCAAAATGTATGTTTTAACTTTTGGCTTTTTCTAGTTTTTCTGCTTTCTTATTCATTTTTCATAACAACCTTTACAAAAACACACAGAAAAAAGTTTCAGCATAAATATTATGATCAGCATTCATTGACTATAGTCTTTAGTAAAAATATTTAAGAATACGTTCCTAAATGATACGAATTTTTTCAAATTTCATAATATTTTTCATTTGAAACGTTTTAATACTCAATATTGTAGTTTCATATTTGTTGATGTTGATGTTGTATGAAAATAAATACTATAAATTTACACATTGTCAGGAATGAACCACTTCTTAAAATTAAAATTAAAATATACATTTTGTTAAATCATTTTAAAAGTAAATCTATTATGTGTCATAAAAAATTTGGTTGTATGATAATTATAATTCGTTTTCATTCCATTTGGTTTCCGTTTATTATTTTTTTATTTTTATGTCCAATTTATATGCAAATTATTTGTTTATACTGAATACTTTTTTCACTTCATTATGAAGAGTTTAGATGTGATTTACAGATGCTCTCATACATACTTTTCAAATTGGTCTTCAATTTATTCCCGCATTATCGTTGTGCCTTAACGGTTATTTACCGAATATTTTAAGGATACTAATCTGTTACGGTTGTGTTTGTTAAGAACATGAAATGAAATTGGACATAAGAAATATTTGCGTATGCATGATTAATGTCAACACAGTGAGCAGGGTACATTTTCATTGCTTTCTCACAAGATTATCCTCATCATCATAATATGTATGTATCGGTTCCAAGTTTGTACTTTTCTGTGCTCGGCACGACTATTAAAATGTCATATGTATTATGAAAAGAATGATGATGAGGACGATGACAACGATAATGATATTGACTTATGTATGTATATCTATACATAAATTTATTTGCTTGTCAACTTATATTTATTTAATGAATTATTTCAAATGAATGACGTTTAGTTTTTTCTTTTTTTAATTTGGAGTTTCTATGGTGGGTTAATGTAAGTGACATTTTTCATTTATTTCAAGATTTTTTTATTTTTCTTTTGTATAAACGTAAATAAGTATTTACTTTCTTGCTATAATTTTATTCGCTAAGAATTGAAGAATCGTTTATTACTCTTGTTACTGAAAGTTGCGAATGACTTTTACAAATTGAATTTTATTTATTTGATTTGACAATTAATTAAACATTATTTATGTGTAAGTATTATTTGTTTGTTTGATTATAAGAATCTATGTATTTATGTATGTATGTTGCTATGTATATAAAAAAGTAAATAAAAATTGTAATTTGTAATATTTGATGGAAATCGAAATTAATGCGGGTATTTCGATTATTTTGTTTTTTACAACTATTTAGTAGTGATTAATTGTAAACATTACGTTTACATTCACACATACATACGTACGTTATACATATTACACAAAATACACAATAAATATAAAAAAATAAAAAATTATTACAGCATTATTATCATTGCTGCAAAAACAAGCTACAATTTCACAAAATTGCGAAACATTTTGTGAAATTTTTAACAAGGGTAAAATTAATCATACTCATAACTAGTTTAGGGTCGGCTACTCCCGATTACACTTAGGTTAGGTTAGGTTAGGTTGATAAGAGGATGTGTAGTACATCAAGTCCAAAGAAATACACCTAGGCCAATATATTAAGGGCTGTAAGCGCCATATTTATTCTAATCCAATTTGCACATTCCGTTATTGCTCGGACTTCTGCCTGGAAGCTTGTATTATGATTAGGTAAACGGTGGTATATTTTTGTTTCTGGGTCTTCAATATAGAACCCCAGGCCCACTTTATCTCCCAATTTAGAGCCATCCGTGTAACAACGGATTCCTAATGGTATTTGCTCTAGTTTTCCGCTTGACCAAGACATTATATATGGGATCAGCGTTTCAAAGTTTCCGACACATTCTGTGTCTGGTATGCGATCAGGCACGTCCAATGATTGTGTATAACCTTCCAACGTGTCCAGTATACATTGATGACATGTCCTATAACCGCTTTTGGCCAGTTCGCCTAAAGCAAAGAGACGTTCGGCTGTAAGCGTCCCCTCATATCTTAAATATGTTTCAATGGGTGGAATATCTAGCAACGTTTCCAGAGATTTTGTTGAAGTAGTACACATGGCACCACTTACATATACCCAAGCAGCATATACGCTGAACTCCCTGTAGTAGTTGGATATTACACTTTTTGTCCAAAGCAGTCCACCAGATTATTGAAGCATGAGATAGAACTGCTCTAATTAAACTTTAATAAAGCCAATTTCTCATAGTAGGACTTAAGACCCCATTTCATATCTATAGTTCTCCTACATATCGCCCAGCACCGATGTGCCTTGTTGATCCTATCCATTTTAATTTCCGGTCGAGAATTACACCTAAGTATTTAACTTTGTCTGTCACCGGTATCATCTTGCCCAGGAAGCAGGGTTCACTATACGTAGAAATTTTTATCTTTCTCGTAAAAAGACAGATTTCTGTCTTCGCCGGGTTAACATTGAGGCCTCAAGGTTGAGCCCAGCTCAAGGCCGTATTCAGAGCATCCTCAGCTCATCTACACAAGTAATTTTAAATATATCAGATGTAATTACAATTTCCGTGTTAGCCTCCCCTTCCTCCAATATCGGTTCATCTATGTTATTCGATATACCGGGTGGGAAATGATAGTCCATTGGGAGTTTCATTGTCTCCTCCATATCCTCCTGCCCGTGTCATCGACCACAGATTCCGGTTGGAATTAGACATTTATGCTGTCTACCTGTTCACAGAAAAGTTTCCGGGAGTCTCCTTTGGCTTTTCGAACAATCAGAAAAGGAGTGATCGTCCGAAACTCTCCAATACTGAACATCCGATGTGGATAATCCTGTTGAGAGGAGAAAACATAAGTTCTTGTGACATAAGATACATGTTCTCGGACGAGACCCTATATCAGCGTAGAAAAGTTGGAAATTACGGATTTAATCCAGAAACCTTGTTGCGAATCGTCCAAGGTTCCTGGATTAAAGCTATATGTATCTTAACTGTGTTAATTTTAGCCATCAGAGCATTGGAAGCCGTCTCGCTCCGATGGAGGTTTAGTTGGATAACCTCAATCATTGTCATCGATTTAAACTGTTTTCCAGCGAGTTGGTGATCAGCTCCTCGCTCGTTGGATTTGACTCCTCCGGGTTGCCTGAAGTGGCTATTAATGCAGTGGATTCTATTGATGGCACTGGGGTCTCCTTATCAGGCATAGGAATAGTAATCTTTTTCATCTAACCTTTCCAATTTTGGAAAGCACTGATGTTCTGTCTTCGGGCGAATGAGTGATTTCCTCCTCGCTTCCAGGATTTGATTCCTCAAAGCTACCAGTACTTGCTAATGATGCTTTGGGTACCGTCTTAGGTGTTTTAGTGTCCTTATCGGGACCGGTTTTGACAGCACTTTCAATCGGTGCCATCCCAATTTTGGAAATGGCAGCTGCACTTTCTTTTGGCTAGTTAGTGGTAACAGCCTCGCTTTTAGGATTTGACTCCTCAGCGTTATCAGTAGTGGTTACTGATGCTGTGATCTTAGGTTTTTTATTGTCAGCCCTCTAATCGGCATCTTTCCAATTTTGAATATGACAGCTTTAGAGGCGAAGTAAGCCCTGTCTTTATTCTTGGCAAGACTAGCCATAGATTTCCTCCTCGATACCTATTACAAACACCGGAAGCTCGCTGCTCTTTGCCAGTCCCAGCTTAGCGCTCGTCCCGGAGGAAGGATACTTTCCACCAAGTTATTTAGGGTGCTAACACATGCTGAGATGCCAACCTCATCAACATCACGCCCATGCTGAACTCGCAGCTCAAGCTCGCTATGGTTGTTTGCCCTTTGAAGCGATTGCGTGGTCCATTATCTTATTGTTGACTAGGTCTTTTATTTTACTCTGTTCGTCTATTGGAATTTTGACTGTCGGATTACCGGCTTCGTAAACTGCATAGCAGAGATCGTCCCGGTGTCTTCTTCTAGCAACTTTGGCGTAAGATGGCGGTTCTTCTCCCTTTCCACTGTCTAGCCTCTCCTTTATTCACAAAATTTTAAATCTACTCATTATCTGGCAACAGTGATTGGCTTTATATTAATGGTGCCATACTATTTTTAGATAGGAGTACATTATTTTCTACTTATATTTTAATTTAATTTGTTACACCTCTCCCAATGTTGTCATCATTTATTTTATAAAGTGTTTCCTTTGGAATTTAATGTGTCTTGTTATTTTTATGTATATATATATATATATATATATATATATATATATATATATGAAATTGTACGTATGTATTTTTGTATTTTGTAAGTTATTTTAAAAATAAAAATAAGAAAAAGGAAAATTATAGAAAAGAACGACGACTGCATAATAACTAATGGTTTGTATATCCTATTTTATATTTTTGGGTCTATTATTCTTCTTTCCGTCATTCTATTTTAGCCTCCTTAGAGAGATTGTACCACAGAAGTACTTACACAGAACTTAAAAACGTTAATGCCGCAATGCATTAAAAAGTAAAAACATTCTCAACAAATATCAAGAATAAAAAACAACAAATATATGAAAGAAATAATAAGTAAAGAAAAAGAAAATAAGGTTACATTTCTTTTGGAAATTTATATAAAACTTTTACTTTGTGGAATAGTTTAATGGTCGACCACATTATGTACATGCGTACAAATACATACATATATACATTTGGGTTGCCCGTTTGTATGGAGGATAAATAAGTTATTAATGTTCCCACAGAAAGTTTAGTTCATTCTAAGATATAGTTTCTCAAAATTTTTTCCTGTTTTCCTGTTAATATTTTGAGCAAGATTTTTTCATATTTCACTCAAAATAATGTTATGAAATGTTTATATCTTATCATCTTTGAAATATTTGTGCTAGTTCACAAATCTCGAAAATTTTAAAATTTTTCAAAAAAATTTAAATTGTTACATTCTTATGTATATACATTTATGCGAGTAGGACTCCAACAGAAAATTTATTTTAATATTGTCACTTAATGTTCCCCTATTTACACCCTACACCACTTTAGTGGGGAGGGTATATTGGATTTGTGCTGATGTTTGTAACATACAAAAATATTCGTCCTAGACCTTAAAGTATACCAATCGGCTTAGAATCGTTTTCTGAGTCGATTAAGCTATGTCCGTCCGTCCGTCTGGCTGGCTGGCTGGCTGTCCATGTAAACCTAGTGCGCAAGGTACAGGTCGCATTTTCAAGATAATTGGATGAAATTTTGCACGCACGTTTTATTTGACCCAAGGACGAAGCCTATTGAAAATGGTTGAAATCGGTCCATTATTTCACCTAGCCCCCATAGAACAGAACCCCCCGAAAAGGGCTTCTGAGCTCATAAATATGTTAAATATACAGATATATCGATAAAATACGGCACAACTAAGTTTTATTGAAGTCTTGGTGACCCTGCCAAATTTCATAAAGATCGGGCCCCATTTGACCCTAGCTCCCATACAAAGTCCTCTTCAGAAAATTACTTGAATGTCCCAAATTAACTTATAAACACAAATATCACGATGAAATTCAGCACAATAAAATATTATGTAAATATAATATATTCACAAAATTTTATCGGGCTTGGTCCATATTTGCCCCTAGCCCCCATATAAATCCTCTTTCAGAAAATTAGTTTTTCATCCATAAATTGCTTAAATGTATCGGAACAATGGAATATTGAAGATAAATGCTTTATTATGAAAAATAAATCACATATAATATTCATAAATGGTGTAGGGTATCATATGGTCGGCCACGCCCGACTATACTTCTTACTTTTTTTTTTCTAAATGGACGTTTGTGTTTTTTTTTTTTTTTTTGCTCAAAAGAAAGCTTAGACCATTTCCCTTAAGATCTTTATTCATATTGGTCATAGTCCCACAAAAGTATGTGTACTCTTGGTCCTTGTTTAATTCAAATCGGTCCACTTTTACGCATAACCCCCATACAAGAGAAAGGTTTTTACTTACCAGTATTCCTTATTTAAAACGAGTATGCTCTGAAATTCGACAAGTTCGCATTGAC